AACCACTTCCAAAGCAAACGGCGTATAGACTGCAAAATATTATGCATCTATAACAAAGATACCTCAAAGAAATCCTGCAACAAGAATTATTTAATAAAAATGTACACGCTTAATTCGTAATTCACCAAGAGAATCGGATACCGTGCAATTCCAATTTGTATCTGTATAAAATTATATATTTACATAAACATTCGCAGTCTACAGCTTTAAATAACAATATCTATATACAAGTTATCATTGTTACATATTGCCATTTAAATAACAATATCTACTTACATAACCATTCGTTTTATAGAGTTTTCCATGCAAAATATAGGATTGTTGGTAGCGAACGTTAAATAAAATTCTCACCGGCAAAGGGTTAACTTCAAGGTGGACCTCGACACTTTCGAACACACCTTTCCGCGCAATCGTGCGACCGTCGAACCCCATGTACCGTCCGTTGCAACGAACCTGCCACTCTCGTCTGAGTGGTCAGATTCGAGCGCGCACGCCTGATTGGCCGAGGCGCTCACGGCCACCAATCGGGCCGCGCGGAGAGCCGTTCCCAGGCTCGCGATTGGATCACTCGGAGCGACTGTCTCCGCCCCTATGACGTCACGAGCGCCAGGTTCCCAGCAACCGACGGTACTCGCACACAATCTAGTTACAGCATTAAACTCAGTCGCTAAACGTCTATGTACACTCCCAAGTATTAGATCCGCCGGAAGGCTCTGTTCGTTTTCAAATTAACAGAAGATAATGCATCTTCGAAAGGGTAATTACGAATTAGATGACAGAATTAAAACTATCAAATATTCTGAATTTTGTAGCAGTTAAATTGTTAAGTGTATTTTCAATTGTTTTTTGTGGTATACTAAATCTTGTACAGAAATCTATTTGTCTATTCTTCTTATGTAGATCTTTACTTTCACTTTTACTTTATGTACATCTTTATTTTCATAAATATGCTCTATTTTTTGTCGGATGTCAATAATATTTACGGTGTAACAGTTGTTTTTAACACTAGAACAACCGAGTGTTTAATATGTAATCTTTATAAAAATTGTGACAAGACTTTTCTGGCTTCCTCGTGTGTTGATTATAACATTCAAGTGAAAATATTTGTCTTTAAAATTATTTTGAATATATAAATAGTATTAATATTTTTAGGATATCAATAATTATGAAATAAGAAAACTAGAACGTATTTTGATAGAGTAATTCTAGTGTCAATTATTCTTTTTACATAAATATATTTCAGTTTCCGTTAGGTATCAAGAATATTTATAACAATTCTTTCCAAAAAAGTGGGCTACCTCTCCTACTCTACATTACCCTTTCCACTCGAGAGACGCCGCTTAGTTTAACCTAGAAAAATTATTAAATATCAAATTTCTTATAACACAATTAGACACGAAATATTGAAATAAAATAATTCCAACCCTTCGTACATTATTTCTAATTAATACCATAAAAAATCTCATCGATAATTCATTAGAAAATAATGAATGTATGCAGCGGATAAATTTTCGAGTGCAAAGGGTTATTATTTACCGAACAATATCATTTCTATCGTCACCAATCACCTCTTTCCAACATGATAGCAATTTATGCATTCCATTCCTATAAAATCATTCATCTTTGGAAACTTGAGAACATTATTGGACAGAACTTTCCGACAGATCTAATATATTACGCGAATACGATCTACTCGTCGATCTATCTCTAAAAAAAAAGAAAGGACAACACGGGAAAGGAAATGTTTCCCCATCTATTCTCTGAACAGTACCGCCTAGAGCCTTTAGTAACGCATATCACAGTTACAAATTCAATATCTGTTATTCTCTCTCTCTCTCTCTCCCTCTCTCTTCGTCTCTCTTTTCTGTTCGTTTTCCTTTTTTCAATATTTCTCTTGCGTTTCTCGCGCAGCGCAAATTTCCCCCGCCCCTTGTGCGGCCGAATCGGCGTTTCTCGCCCCCTACCCTTGTGCCGTTTTATCGCGTGATCGACGTACACTCTCCGTTTCCAATCCGGCAAGACATCTTTTTAAGGCCGGAACTGTGGCAGACCTGGTTGCCAAGCTAGCTGCAGTGTTTAACACGTTGACTGCGAATTTGCGACTGGGAAATTGGTTATTGAAACGTTGGGTTGTGATGTGAATTGTAATGGGAATTGGAAATTGAAGTATTGGGTTGCGATGTGAATTGTAATGGAAATTGGAAATTGAAGTACTGGGTTGTAATAGAAATTGTGACTAAGGTATTAGAAAATTTGTAATTAAGGAATTGTAGTATTGGGTTGCGATATGAATTGTAATGGAAATTAGATGAAATTGAAGTGTTGGGTTGTAATGAAAATTATAACTACGAAATTATACAAATTGTAATTAAGAAATCAGAAATTGAAATATCGGATTGTGATACCAATTGTAATGGAAATTAGACAAATTACAATTAGGAAATTAGAAACTGAAGTACTGGGCTGTAATACGAATTGTAACTAAGAAATTAGAAACTGAAATATTGGATTGTGATATCAGTTGTAATAAATTTGTAATAAAATTGTAATAAAATTCCATAGAATGCAGCTAATACAATAAACTCACAAAAACCCCTGTGTACTGATTTTCATAATTCCTATGAGCAAGAACCATCATCTATAGCAATGATTGCAGGTTTGCAGTCCAGCAACGAATTGTTTAACTTCGGCACGTGTCAGAGATCATAATGAAATTTGGTTCATTCGATAAATCACTATGAAAATTAAGTTCCACTTGAAATTCCATCAAGCACAATGGAAAAGTCAGTGTCACGTGTACTCGGATGACATGGCAGTCAATGTGTTAATCGAAAATTACTTCCTAGAAGCAGTGATCCGCTGGAAGTCTTAAGTTGCCGTTTGTTAATCGAACGAACCTGAAATTCTCGCATCAAATATGCAGCAAGGAACGCGAGTGTTCGCACAGTAAAAATTTCAGTATGAAAATAGCTATATCTCCTTGGAAATATGAATACATTCGCATACGTATATTCACTTACGAATCTAATTATCTTTCTTTTTTTTTATTAACAACAAGTCGAGATTTAGGAATCTCTTAGGGTTAGGACCCGACTTCGATTAGATTAACGCAATCATTCAAATGAGCTCACCGAATGATAACCAACCCTAGAATCGTTAAGCCTTTTGTCATATAAATCATCCATTAAAATAGAAATTTGCATAAGCGCGTGCAAAGTCGGCGCAGCCCGACGTTTCCACTGTGCGAGCACTTTTGTCCCCCACCATTTAAATCCTAACAGATAATTGACTCGCGAGAATGGGCTAGCAGAAAAATCGAGCGAAAACGAGAATCGTATCGACGCCTTCTCTCAGAGAAGAGAACTACCTCTCACTTTTCCATACACTATCGCTCAAAAATATTTAATCACTTACCATCGAAATTACAAAAGAAAAGGCACCCCTATCTATCTAATAAAATAATAATTATAATATCCAAACAAATTTACATTTCTACATGTACGATAAAGAGCTTCGATATTCCATTAATTCCTTCGAATTCTCCTATACCACGAACCGTATAGAAATCAAACGATCCAATGACCAAAATACTTTTGAGCAACATCGTACGTTCGAACGTTAGTCAGTCGTTTACGAGCACTTTCACGGGAACACGCACGACTTCCAATCGTATAAGGATTTTCGCTTTTACGCGAGGAATACCGGTAGATCATAACCGGCCGAGTGGATCCTCGTTGACCCGGTTCGCTTCCGGTCACGCACACCTAATTACGCCAGTTAATTATCGACGCGAAGCATTCCAGGTTCCGGTCATTAGGCGATATGTATACTGCTAGTCGCGCGAACGAATTTCTCGATCGTTGGCCTCTTGTTCAACCCTTTCCTGCACGCTGAATAATTACCAGGAAGACGCTCGCAACACCATCTTAAAATTTAAATGAAATACTGTTACGGTAGACGAATGAAACAAAAAGAGAAGAGAAGACTTCATCGTAACTCAGCGCAAGATAAAACGGCAAGGAAAACAATTCCAATATTCGCTGGTCAATAAACGCAACGAGAGTACATCGATCATTAACACATTGGATGCCGTCGAGGTATCAATGACCTCAACCAAATTTACTATAATTCATTCGGTTAAATTATTTGAAACCTTTTCTACATTATACCACCTAATACAGCGACATTCAACAAGATAAAGCTGCAATAATAACGTAATTCAATCGCGTAAGTGGATACTACATTATTTCCTATATTTTTCTCAGCAAAATCGCGCGGCACTCAACGTGTTAAAGAGAACAAGAAAACAACACGTCTGACAGTCTCGAAGAAATTCCGATTCGTTCGCCGCCTCCTAACCCCGTTTAAAAGCTATCACCTCGCAGCGACGTCGCAGTCGCAGAAGCATAGTCTCTCGCGCCTACACGTTTCGAAGCGGAAGCTCGTTTCCCTGGAATGCAACAATTCTTTTAATCTGTCTCGTCCCGGTGCTCCTGAATGTACAGTAACAATTGAATTTCGGTTTCCTATGTACATCGTCGTGAAGGAAAAAATAAAATGTCTTTTGCGAACGCGCGAGCACGTTCCCCGCGGAGACACCGGCAGCCAGCGAGCGCAGCCCGTAGCCTCGTTCCGCGCGTATGGCTGTGTCGCTTACAAATAAATATATATATAAATATATTTATATATATATATATTTCTATGCGTATGATCGCTATAATTGATTTACAACATCTCCGGCGGCGATCGCAGCGTTTTCAATCCGCTTTCATCTGACCTGGTCCAGCAATAGGGAAGCTGCTAGGTCTACGTCGTATTCAGTCTGTTTCAGAGCACCCTCGCACTCCTGTCTGCCTGCCAGACCCAATCTGCAATTAAAACAATCAGCTGAACGAGTGTTTTATATGTCTAACCCAATTGCGACACTTGTACGGTATACTGTGCGCGATTTTATAGCTCTGTGAAAGGCATTACTACGCCTGGCGTGATTTATAGAATCGTAAATCGGTCGGAGGAGTTTTGTAAACTCGACATAAATATGATGAAACGTTTCTTGCGAGATTCATGATCCTTTTCCGCTGCTTCTAATTTGCGTGAATCTTCTTATTAAACTGATGTTAGTGTCAGTCACTGGTGACTGACGCTTTTGAATGACTAGAAAGTAATGAACATATAAGGCACCCGATGTGAAATGAAAATGTTTCATAATGCAACTAAGTTGGTAATATTGTAATGCAAACATTGTAACGCCAAATAATTAACTATTCCTGCTTTTCTTTGCTGCGAAAGAACGTGTTAAGATCAGAATTCGAGCCACGTGGATATTCATATGTTCAGTCGTGTATAAGATACTTCATAACGAAGCAACTCTATTTTCACGTTAATAGTTCATTTACTCCAACAGATGTTATACTTCTATGCAATGGCGGCTCGTAGCTAAAATTCGGGGTGCTGCACCAGAAAATGATTTTAGCCTTCGCTTTAAAATATTTGTATCTTTTTCATAAACTGGGTGATGGCTACTGACATTGATCTTAAGGATTATATATTGTACAAGTATAAAGAAAGAATTAAAGAAAAAAGGATATTTAATTTATAAAAATATTTCTAGCGAGAAACTTCCGAGTGCAAAGGGTTAAATGTTATCGATATCAAATGGAAATTGAGAGTGTGAAATGTATTTGTGATTTCCCATCCACTGCATTTCAAAGAATATCGTCTTCGTCTTACCAAAAAGTGTTAAATATTTGTGAGAAACTTCCGAGTGCAAAGGGTTAAATGTAATCGACATCAACTGGAAATTGGGGGTGCTACAGTTCCACAGTGCCTCTACGCTATCCGCCACTGTTTCTCTAAATTCTTCCCGCCAGAGGTAGTATCTTTTCTACAATCCAACGAACTAACCTCACAAGAGACTCGATCTTAGCCTGCCTGTCCTTGAGTATTTGCTTCGCAGCCTGGTTAGTGTCCCAGCCGGTCGCTTGCAACGCTGTCAGTATCTCTTGCTGCGAGGCGTCGGCAGTCTCCCTCTGCACCTTCATCACTTTGTTGGCTCGAAACTCGTCGTTCAGGGACATGACGAGCTGCTGGGAGGCGCCGGTCAGCGGAGGACTCACGCCGGAAGGGTACGCGGACGTGGAGGGGGCTAATTGAGTATTAACGACCGTCTCGTTCATCTGAGGCGGCGTGGCGCGTATCACGGGTGCTTGCGGTATTACCATGGCAGCCTCCTGAGGCGCGTTAGTGTGCGCCAGCTGCAGCAGATTGGGACTATTCGCTAAATTGCCCGCCAGATTGGACTTCATTACGGTGCACTGACCGTTCTGTACAGATTTCATCGGGCTCCAGGCGGGCGGAGGCGGATTGTACACCGGCGGTTGCTTCAGGTGAGGGCTGAAGTCGCAGGGATGACTCTGCGCCGAGAAGCTCCTCGCCTGCGCGGCCGACTGGCGTGGCTGTTGCTGCGAACCACCAGCAGCTCCCTCCAAATAATGACTATGACTTAGATTGCTAGAGTCGGGGGCGGACGACGCACTCGCAGCGTAGTAGTTCCTGAGGATATTCTGTTGGACGGTCTTATTATACAGCGTGTTGAACTCGTTCTGGGACAGCTGGTCCAGGTTCGGCACCGTTTGCTTCAGCTCAGCGTACACTTGCTCGGACAGCACCGCGCTGGCCGGCTTCGCGGCCACGTTACTAGTGTGCGCTTGCTGGAGATCGTTCTGGATCTGCGTGATTCCATGGTTCACCTGAGCCAGAGGAAGGTTTGGCAAGTGGCTGGCCTGGTTCACCGTGGACGCAGAGTTTTGCGCGTGATTAACATTCGGTTTCGACACGTTGCACTGGCTAGCTAGATTGCTGGGTGCTATCTGCAGTAAATTCAGGTTCGTAGGTGCATTGCTCAGCACCCGGTTCACGTTAGCCTCCGCGCTGTAAGTGTTCTGGGACACTTGCACCTGCTGCCAGATCTGACCGACCATTTGATCAGTCGTCGTCTCCAGCATCCGTTGTTCGGACTGATTACGTGGCTGTTGAATGTTGGTAGTCTTCGACTGCCAGGAGTTTTGCACCTTGGTTGGCAGGTTGCTCGACCTGTGGTCAATCTGCGGGGATTTCGGCTTCGTCGACTGAGGCGGCGGTCTTAACGTCGGGATCGTGTTCTCGGGAAGTTTGTTCACGGAAGAATACGGCTCGGAGGAGCCTGCAGCTTCCTGGCTGGCGTTCGTGTTCTTGCTGGCTTCTTTCTCGCCAAGGTGCTTCTCTAGCTCGGCCAAGAACGCTGGGTCGAGCTTCTTAGGCGAGACAGTGCTGCGAGTGTTGATAGTCAGTTCGTTGAGGCTTTGAGCGAGATCATGGTTCGATTTCGGTTTCAGTGGGCTTTCGTTTGGAGCGACAAGCGGATGAGGTGGCGCCTCCGTGCTTTGAGAATTCCTGCTGGACACGTTCGCGTAGGTCTGCTGCTGCGTCTCGTCCTGCAGGTCCTCCGGCCACGTGGACCACCTCGCCATGGGCGGACTCGGTTTGTCAATTTCGCTGTAGTGGTGCTGAGAGTACACGTTCCCCTCCTCGGCGTCGACGTTCACGTTCAGGTTAATACTGTCGTTCCGGTTCTCCTTGCTCAGGCTTATGGAATAGTGGTTCACGTCCGAACCGGCCTCCGGCGTGAAATAATTTGTACTCTCCTGGCTACCGGATGCATCCTGGTTCTGGACGTTCCCATAGCTCTGGGTCTTGAAGTATCTGCTGCTCACGTCGGGCGGCACTTGGCTGTAGTACCTGGAATGAGGCAGCTTCATGAACACCGACGACGTGTCGAACGGATCCGAATACGCCGGGTCCACGTTTCCAGGGAAGTTAGCATACGTTCTAGGGTCGTCCTCCTGCCAAGACGTCTGCTGTCGCTCCAAGTCATCTATTGGCTCGTCTAGAATATTGTTCACCACTCGGCAACAGGCAGTGTCCGACTGCGCAACACTAGTGTTCACCATCTCCTCCGGGGACAAGTCGATTAGGCTGCCCTCTTGGCTGCCACCTTGGCCAAGCGCGTTGGTAGATTTCACCGGGCTGGAGCGGATGTCGTTCTGAAATTTCGTGTAGTTGAACTGCTTCCGGGATCTCGGCGTGCCGCAGAAGAATTTCTTTTTCAGATGGCTGTCCGGGGCAGTGGCAACACCCACAACATCTGGCGGCTCCATGGGATTACGCAGGTAGACGTCGTCTATGTAAATAGGGCTGCCCCAGCTTTTCCCGAAGGGTGCACCGTGGCCAGTGTGGATAAAGGAATTTTCTAAGGGTTTGCTTATATCCTCCGGCTGCCTGCGGCGCATAGGGTCGACCAGGCAACGGGGGAACAGGCCAATTTGAAAGGTGCGCTGATTCTGACCCTTCCACCAATAGTTCTCGGGCCGGCCATCCAGGATTACTATTTGATCGCCTTGCTCGATGGTCATTTTGTTCGCTTCCTCGAAGTTATTTACGGCTTTCATCAGACTCGGGATCATTCCTGTAAGGGACGTCTTCAGGGACGCGAACATCGGCCTTTCCGCGGGATCCCGGGTCCAGCAACGTAGCATTAATTGGTACATGACAGGTGGCGTTGCTTCTGGCTCGTGTAGCCGTTCGCCATCTTTATCGATCTTCCGCAGGATTTCGGAACCGTTTAACCCTACCCACGGCTCTTCACCGAACGTTAACATTTCCCATAAAGTAACGCCGAACATCCAAACGTCGGACGCGTGGCTGAATTGGCGAGCTTTCAATGATTCCGGCGCACACCATGGGAACGGTACTTTCTTGTGCTCCGTCATGACGTAACAGTCTTCCTGCTGAGGCAACGCTCTCATTAGGCCGAAGTCGCCGATCTTCACTTTGTCCACCGAGCTCAGTAAAACGTTTCTGCACGCCAGGTCGCGGTGCAGAAATCGCTTCGCCTCTAAATACGCCATTCCCGTGGCAACTTGCAACGCGTAGTTGCAGAGAGTTAATACTGAGATTCGACCGCATTGCTTTCGCAAGTAGTCTAATAACGATCCGAGAGGCGCTAGCTCGGTCACCATCATCATTGGTTGCGACAGTACTACACCGTACAATCTATAATTGAAGGTAATGGTAGTAAAAAGTAATACATAATTAATTACACGTGATGGCAATACTTTCACTTTAATACATACCTAATGAGGTTCTGGTGGTCAAGCGTGTGCATTGATTGGACTTCGGACACAAAGTCTTCGATAACGCTTGGCTGTGTCAATGCATCTGCCTTGAGCACTTTCACTGCAACGGGCAGGATTCTCCCTGAAGGAGATGTCCATTCCCCACGTCTAACTACACCGAAACTTCCATCCCCTAATTTTGTAGACAGTGTTACATCCTTGTCTTGTATGAGGCATGTTAACACCGAAGACCCTTCAATAGGTTGGGATGACCTTTTGTTGGTCTTCGTGCTGCTGCCAGGTCTGATTTTGGTGATCAAGTTTTTCTTCCATTGCGTGTTCCTTTTCTTCTTAACTGCATCTAACAGTCGCCTGATACCTGGCTTCCCTAGTCCTATCTTCTCAAGGTCTTCCGGTTGCACATAGTCAAAGTGATGCAGTCTGGTGACTTGTAATTCATCACGTATTCTCGTGAAAAACTGTGACAGCTGAACATCGTGCAACAGTTCCTGCAGCCATTCTGTACCCTCATCATCTGCCATGTTCAGTTATTCTATTACCCTGTAATCAATAAATGTGGTCAGTTGAATCTTATCAACTATAAACACACACCACAGGCAGCAGGCACAATAAAGAAAACAGGAATAAAGACTAGACACACGTTAAGAAAGCAAAGCACATTTATTTCAATGGTATAATTTAACAACAGACAGAGATAAGGATAGGTGATAAGAATAGGCACAAACAGTCACATAAGGTATATTTCACATACATACATACATACATACATGCAGTTACAAACAGTGCACAAGAACAAATTGGAAAATGATTCAATTACCCCTGTAATTCAGTAGAAAACCAGTGGTATAAGAATGGTACAAAGTATAAACCACAGTGTTTACCATTCACCATAGTCCCCCCCAAAACAGGAAACAAAATGTTTAACAGTGAAGGGAAGTCTGCCATACCATGCATAGCTTTGTGAAAGCAAAAAGACCAATCAAGAATTCTCCTCGCATATCGCGAATATCTCCATGATAGTGAACTACGACGGAAATCCCAGAAATAATTAACATCCCGCCTAACCAATTAGAAGCCCGCTTCCACTGACCAAACAACCCATAAGAAAACACCGAGGAAAACAAAACAAAACAGCGAAGTCCAATAAAAATGCGAACGATAACAAAAACCACTGGTATCAAAACAGATGGACGTAAACAGGCTAATTAACGCACCGATTACGATGCGTCGACGCGCACTCGGCATGCGTCAATTGCAACATGGATCGGCCGAAGGAGCGAGCGGGGTTCGGGTACAGGACTGGCCGAAAAGCTGGGCCCGGTCCAGGATGGGCAAGGCAAAAATATCGTCGGTTTGGTTCACCTTTCAACGGAAGAAGCAATTAAGTCTCCATCCTGTCGGCGAGGGGAGTCCGTTTGTCCTCCGGTGCGTCGGGAAACACAATCCCCGGGGTTCGACGCAGCGAAATTCGAGCGGAATCATCGCCACCCGAGCCTCCGCATCCTTTTTTTCGGTTTTCTCTCTCTTTTTTCACGCGCTGGACGTTTCACAGACGCGCACAGACACCGGAGTGGATGCTGATCGAAAAAGCACGAGATGGGGAGACGGAGAGATGAAGAGAGAGAAGTATGTGTAAATGTATGCGTGCGTATGAGAGAGATAGGTATATGTGTATGTGTATATATATGTATATATAGAGAGATTGAGAGAATGAGAGAAAAAGATTGGGAAAAGGGACCGTGAAACGGACCTCAGAAAAAGGACGAAAATGCAAAGGCGAGAAAATCGCGAGAACCTTCGCGTCCAAGTCCCAGTCGCACACAGTCCGAGAGACTTTCACCGTACGGATTTCTCACGCAGCGCATTGTTGTGCACCGCGACTGCTTTAACCTAAAACGCCGCGATTCCGCTACCGTCGACGGTTCCACCGAAGCGGGCCAAAATCCGGGGAAGCCCAGCAACGTTCACATCTTGCGTCGACCACCCGCGAGCCTTCCACCTCCGGCGATTTTTCAACGGTTCTGTTCTCGATTTGGAAATCTCACGCGAGTCCCAGAGCCAAGGATGCAAACAAAAAACCCGACCGACCGACGGAACACTATTTTGCTACTGCCACGGACCATGCAACGGATGCAGCTGAACGCCCGTTGCTGAGATGGCGCCATCTTGCACTGTCGCAGAAATCGATCGGATATTTGGATACGAGAGTTTTTCTATTTGAGGGCTGAAATGATTGGTAGGGGTTGATTTTTAATGGATGAGTGTTGATTCTTTTTTTTAGCGGTGAGAGGGGTTTCGAGTGATGCCTGCGAGACGGTAGAATGAGGATTTTGTGGGGCCTAGGGACTTTTTACACCCTAGGGAGCCCTATGTTTGAATGACCGTTACGGACCGCGGGAATATTTGAATTGCGTTGGGACAATTGTGGACATTTTGTAGTGTTTAGTGAAGTTCGATTGTTTTATTGGGGCAATTTTTGTAGGGGAAGTTAGGACATTCTTCAGGTTTGTTACCTGCTTTAATTAATTTTGATTAGTTTATTTATTCATTGATTTAGGTTTTGAGGAATAGGATTGGATAGTTAACGATTTTATGGTTGGATCTTGAGCAGAAAGATAATTGTTTAATAATGTCTTAAAGCCCAAAATTAATTAGAATTAATTCAATTGATTTTAAACTTGTTTAATATTGAAAGTATTCTAAAGTATTCGAATATATTTTCTCCTGTACTTATGTAACAATTTGAAAGTAGTAACAAATGGAACTAAGAAAAACGTATAGTTCATTAATGGTACTTCCACTTTTATGTTTGGAATTTCTAGGTAATTCGAGTGTAGAATGATAATTTTGTTTGGTTGCAGACCCTGTGCACGTTGGTCGAATGGCAATGACAATAATTATGAACTTGACAATTATAATTATTGTGTCACCCATATCCATCGCATGCAGCGCAGAAATTCCTCTCTCGCATTCTGATATCGGCGTACAACCGTCTTTTGTGCGTGCATAATGTATTCAGCGCGCGTTCCAACGAGACGTCGTTGCGTCACTCTGTTCAATAATTCAAAAAACTATTGCAAATTCGATTATCTCCTGTTGCGTCTTATCAGAATCGAATTGTGCAGATTTCAGAACATTCTTTTAACTATTTTATTTTCAATTAACGTATGTACAAATTAAAATTAGTGTTTCAGCAATAATAATAATATTTATCGTTATATTGTAAAAGAGAAGAGATGTAGATATAAATTCATGAAATAGTTGATATAACCGACTGATTTCTATTATTGTATCATTATCAGTGGCAAAGTTATTGAGACCTTTGCGTGACTTTCCAAGATTACGATAATGACGCGAATCCACAATGACGGCGCATGCTTGATATCGACTTCCAGCAGCAACAGCCTTGCGAAACGCAGTCACAACCGCAGCAGCAACAGCAACAGGGAATGAGTGTGAATGGGATATGGGGGATAGAAACAATTCTAATGGTGAGAAAACCGAAAAAGAGAAATATTCAAATTTGCACCGCAATTTTTGCTAATTGAAAACGCCCACCTGTCCAAATCTTCAAACGATTAATTTGTAATTTGAAACTTAACGAAATTAGATTTAAAAATTGTTTCTTTCAATCTCCTGATTTGAACATTTAAAAATTGTTTCACTGTTGTTTCCTCGTTTTCAATTAGACAAGTATATTTTAATACATATAATTTATTTATATTGCAATACAAAGTACTCAAATTCTCTTTTGCAATTTACTAATTACACAATGCTTCTCTATATAAAAGAAACCTAATCAAACTTGCACCGCAATTTTTCCAAACAAAATATTTCCAAATCTACAAACAATCAGTTTACTGTTTGAAACTCCCGAAAATTAAATTCAAAAATCCTTTCTGTCAATCCTCTAATTTGAACATCAAAAATTGTTTCACTATCATTCCCCGTTTTCAGCAAAATTATATTTTATTCCATTTAATCTATTTGTATTGTAATGTAAACTTTAAATCTATGTTTCTGCAATTTTCTAATTACACAATAATGCTTCTCTTTCAAAATTTGTTTTACGATTCCACCGTGCTCGAAAATGAGAAGCTTGAGCACCCTTCCGGTTTGTGTACAATTTTCACATCCCCCTATTAGCGTGGTCTCTGAACAATCGAGCGGGCAGCGCCGAGAAAGGAGTAAAAAAGATATGAAAAACACGTCGCGGATAGGATCCAAACAGGAACGTGTCGCGCAGGTAGTCCGGCCGGCCGAAATGATTCGAAAAAATCGAAAAAAAAGCAATGAACGCGTTGCCTGGCTACCAAAAACAGGGGCAAAAAAGGGACGAGCGAAAAATGCGCTGTCGCTTTGAGGCAGCGCGCGAGGGGCGCAGCCGCGCTGAAATTCCATCAGTCCGGCATTGACCGTCGCTCCGTGCCTTTTCCCGAGTTTTCCGCGTTAGCGGAGGAAAATAAACGAACGATCGAACGGATTTCGAAAGATATTTATTGTATAATTTGAAAATTGTACAGGAAAATCGAATTTGTCGAGCAGATCATCTCTGACCACGCTTTGTCTAGTGTATTGTATTCCTGTTGCATTGTTTTCCATTGTCTTCCCTTTCAAAAGACCTTTACTTTGCTTTCTTTATTTTTCTTTGGAGATTTTTCCTTGGTTTTTCTTTGTTTTTTATTTAAAGATCTTTCTTCTCTTTAGTAACCTTTTCTTTGTTTCATATGAAATTTTTCTAATGAGTTTTCTTTGTCTCCGCTTTAGTGATCCTTCGTTTTCTCTTCAATTTTTCTTTGTCCCTTCTTCAGTGGTCTTTCGTTTGTTTTACGTTAATCTTGTCTTTGTTTCTGCTTTAATGATCTTTTCTTCGCTTTCTCTTCAATCTTTCTTTGTTTCTTCTTTAGTGATCTTTCCTTTGTTTCATCTGAATGTTTTCTTTAACGATTTTTCCTTTGTTTTTCCGTCATTTCTTCTTTGTAAATCCTTCCTTCGTTTCTTCAGCGATCTCTTCATTGTTAATCCTTTAAAGATCTTTTCATTATTTATTCTACACCGATCATTTCTCAATTTTTCACTTTAAAAGCCTTTTGATCTTTAATGATCAAAAGAAAATGAATTTTTCCATTGAAAATAACCGCGACAAATGAAATTTTGCTGCAATTCCCGGCGGGGTTGGATTTGTTCGCGCGTGACAAGCCGGTAATTTTTTACGCGTGGCTTTTTTTTGTAAATTCCGGCGGCACGTTGATAGTTCGTTCTCGCGATCCGCGGAGGTTCAAGTGGCCGTTTGTTTAAACGCCGCGACAAGAGTTCGTGGGGTGTTTTCCCGGAAACGCGGCGCCGCTTGTTGCATCTGCGATGCGACGTTTCGTGACAATTGCGTGAACAATTGGCGGCCGGCCGAGGGGGTTGGCTTTGTTCACGCCACCCTTTTGTCGCGCTTCGTGAATTTCAATGCGGTGGAATTGTCAAACGTTCCTGTCTGACGAATACAAACCACCCTGTTTATGATTAATTCTACCGCACTGCTTAATTTATTATTTTCATTTTAATACTAATGTAATTTTTATAATTCACATGGTTTAAATAGTTGAACTTCAGTGCTGTAAATATATTGCCATAGCTGATTTTATGATGTCCAAGTAATTTATATTTATAATTTTAATTTTAATGCGATTATTATGATTTAAATATTTGAACTTCAATGCCGTAATATATTGCCGTAACTGATTTTGGGATACCCAAGTAATTTAAATTTACAATTTTAATTTTAACGTGATTATTATAATTAATATGATTTAAATATTTGAATTTCAACGGTTATTTAATTAAAATATTGTTATAGCTGATTTTGTGATATCCAAGTAATTTGAATTTATAATTTTAATTTGAATGTAATTTATGTAATTACTACTATTTAAAGATTTTACTTTGAATCTTCTCAATATACTGTCACAGTTAATTCCGTGACATCCGACTAGTTTAAATTTATAATTTTCATTTTAATGTCAAATGCAACCCCTTTATATATTCTCGTCATCTAATTGTACATTGTAGCTTTCGTTTAAATATTATAGAATCAGAAATACATTTTGCTTCCAATTCCTATTTGTCTATTTATTTTATTAATTAACAAATTCATCGCTTACGCGTTGAATAAAATTGTTTCTTCCTTAATTTACAATTGTCACGTATGGAATTTGTAATTTATATTTAATTCATTCGAATTTAAGAAACAACGGACGCATGAGTTTGCACAAAATTAGCAGAAAATAATTATTGCCCCCCATCGCATCGATGCCGCAACTCTCATCGTGTTTGCCTCACCCTCGCCCCTATTTGCATCCGCAAAGTGCATTGCAAATATTCGCCAAATAACACCGTGTGTGACCAACCGCTTGTTGCATTCACCGCGGGTAAATAATGCAATTACCGAGCATGCCGAGATGCCAGCTTTCAGACAATTTGTTACAATATTACACGGAGACAATAAAGGTGGACCGTCCTGAAATTATTTAATAAATAAAATTCTACACTTGCAGTGTCTGTATTCCCAGAAAATGTTGTATTATACATAGATATTACAGTATTAAAGGAGAAAATAAACTTTGCTTGATTAATTTGATGATTATTCTAGATAGTTTTGTTCACTGTGTGATTATCGTAGATAAAATTATCTATTAAATTGACTCTCCAATCAGAATTTAATTATTTGATTTATTTCTCTAATCACTCGAAAAGCTTTATTAGATATTTAATATTAATTCTCCTAGAATTATTTATTTCAATTAAACGTCCATTGCAGATTTCTATATTCAAATTATTATTCTATCAATACCGAGCTTCCTTTACAATTTTAATGCATTTGAAGTAAATCAGAATTTCTCCACAACCATTCCATTAAATAAAACATCCAACACAAATGTCAATACTCAAATTATTATTCTGTCAATATTAACTCTTCCTCAATTTTCTCTTTTACAATTTAAATCCAGAAACAATATAATAATTCCTCCACAATTATTCAATTAAATAAAACATCACAAATCTCAATATTTATTCCCCCCACCAATTTCCTTCTTAATTTCGCACTATTATATTCATCAAAATTATTATTCAAGAAGCAATTGTGTTCTTCAAAGATCCACTCTCGCGGCGGAAAATTCCGGCACTGGAGTCCGAGAGGAAAGGGGGCCGCAGGGTTGAAAGGGTTTAACAGACGAGCGACCCTCTCAGCCGGATAGAACGTGAATATAATTAGTCGGACGCGTTTTGATTAATATAATTAGCTCGCGTCACGAACGATTTATTTCGCATCGACGGTCAATTTAATTTATAATCGACACTGTCCATTTTTATTCCGTTGCTTTTCCTTTTTTCGTGACCATTTCGAGTCTCGAATCGAAAACTTTTTAATTGGCATGCACGGGACGCGCCGATTCGCGATTTAATTATGAAAATTACCGTCCGCCGCAGATTTACGGTGGTCATAATTAATTTCGCCGGAACGGTAACGCGAGGCTCGCGTGTCTCGATTAATTTACGATTTAAACCGGATCCTTGCCCTTAATTTCTCGTCTGCGCGCGGAATGCTACACGATCTAAAATAAACGCGCCGCCATATTATAGGAATTGATGTAAAATAGAGGTATTAATAGAAAATCCGCGACACGCCGATCGATACGGTTGTGGGGGGTAAGAAAATAATTTTCAACTTACCACCGACTTTCAAGATGGGAATTGGATTAATGATTCATTTGTAAGAGAAGTTTCGACTGAGGCATCGTGCGATGCGCTCAGTGCTGGAGTTAATTTGACATCACATGATATCAACCGGAAAATCTAAAAACAAATTTTGGTAATTTAATATCTTCAATGTTGCTTCAGAGAAAAATCGATTTTCGGAAATAGACTGGAAAGTGTTCGTAATAATTTATCTTGGAAATTTATGGATTTATTTTCATAGAATTATTTTCTATGTTAATTATCCTGAATTTGTCGTGTGTAATGCATCTAATAGATACAATAGTAATTATAGTAAACAATGATTTTTAAAATCAAAGTAATTAGAAATGACGATTTTAAAATTACAATAATAGTTACAAAAGAAATTAAAGAAAATTATTATACTTAATATGATTATTATATAATAACAAAAAGTTTCTTCATCCCTAATATTTTTCGATTCTATTTATATATTACTACAAGTTCACAAACACGGTTGAAAATAATTTTTCCTTAAGATGTCTGCCTCGAAAGTGTTAAACAGCGTCTGGATTATCGGAAACAAGGTTCGAACGCCGCGGCTTTAATTGAAATCGACCGGTGTTAACGAGTTTGTTGATTTTTCCCAGAATACCGTGCGTCGTGGCAAACATCGTTTCCCGTAGGTGCGGACGGGAATTGGCAAGAAGAGAATGGCGAGAGGAGGGGTGCGGAACGTCGAGGAGGGTGAATTTGCGGAGCAAACAGACCACGGTGTCAATGCACGTATCTTTCTGATCGACGGACCGCTCCGCCCAGGGTAAAACGACTCTGTCCACCCTTGAAGTAATGTGAGTGGTCTAATTCATTAATACAGGGTGCCATCGAAATTGTGATGGGGCTGAGAAAGGGGTGAATGTGAAATATTAATGAAAAGTTTGCACGATGTCAGTATAAAAATATGCGCATAGTTTGAAGGGTTTTAAATATATAGCAACGTTTGTTAGTAAATGTTTAGTTTAATATAGGGTGTTATTAAAATTGTGATGGGGGTGAGAAAGGGGTGAATGTGCAATATTAATGAAAAGTTTGCAGGATGTCAGTATAAAATAAACAGTTTAGAGAATTATAAATATCTAATAATATTTATCAATATAATATATAGTAATATATATTTAGTTCGAAATGAAATAAAAATTTTAATAATTCCATTAATAATTAACTTATAACATTTTTTTATACACTTAACGAAGAATAAATGATTCAATAACACTACTAATAATAGCTGACTGTTTTAAATAGTGTAACAAAATAAACTCAACAAAAAGTGTTAACCCTTTAGTCCTCAGTGACACACTGTTTATTACAAACACATTCATTCCTCTTCCAACTATATAACTTAACTAACAACATTCCAAAAATAAATATCTCCAAAAAGCTTCCCAAACCTAGGGGGTTCACTATCCAACCAAAAAACACCAAACCTCCGCATATTTCACAAAAACCTTTATACATATTCCAACTATACAACTTATCTAACATATTCCAAAAACAAATACATCCCTCGAAAGACTTTCTACCCCAAAGATTACCCCGTCCGAGCAGCAGACACCCCCAAAATTCCGCTTCAACCGGGATGAGCGAAACAGTAGCTCAAACACAGTCTCCGCGAACAAAGCCGATCGCGTTAATAGACGCCGCAAGTTCATCAGGAAATCGAACGGTGCACAATGCACCACCTGTCAGCCCCCCCAGGTCCGCCAGATTGTAAACAAAATCGAGGGGTTGCCCGAGGGTGAGGAGAAGAAGCGGAAGCTGGAGGGGGAAGGTGGCGCGAGACTGCGAGAGGTGTCCGTGGTGCTCGTCAGTAGCACCGCGGTCACAGATCCTTTCGGAGCTGAGAACCAATCCCATCAGCTGCGAGAGACCCTGCACCTACCACACGTCCATCAACATCTCGAGCAACATCCGCTCGTCCAGCCGACAACGATCAAACAGACTGAAAGTCGATCTATCAATTTGGAGGATCATCTTAGAGGATCGTCCTGGTAGCTAACGCACGAAGTGTCCTTCATCGATGATCAGCAAAGTGGATGATTAGACGACCCTGACTCCTCGCGAATCAGAGGATCACCGTTTCGCCTTGGTTTCGTTGTAATGGTACATTGATCGCCGCGGAGTGCATCACACACACCGCCTTGATCGGGAGCAGCCGCGATGTCAACGTTACACCGGTCGTTGACACAGTTCCCGGGTTGAGAATCGGACGTTTCTCCGTCGCTCCAGTTCGCCCAGAACCGACTGAGGACCACCGAGCCGCTCGGCCCACAGGACCTAGCATGAAGTCCGAGGGCAACAACGGGTACATCAGGGCCACTGTCATCAACGAGCAGAACGATGGCCCGACTGGCTCCGCTCAGGAGACACCTGCCGCTAATCCTGTTCAGGTGAGAGTCTTTTCGGCTGAGGACCCGGGCCGTTCTGTTTCGTTTACAACGAAAGTGTCGGGTGGGATGAAATGATTTATTGAGGATATCTTGAGGAATCTTTTTGGTATTGTTGAAGGACGGATGGTTCTTTGAGAGGTTGAAGAAATTGGGTTGGTAATGTGTGAAATGAATTTAAATCGATTGGAGTCTTGATGGAATTTCGGGAAGTTAATTTTGGAAGGTAGTTTTAGTGTTAAGGGGAGTTTGCGGGGGTTCTTTGGGTTTGTTTGGGATCTTTGGTTGAGAGACTTCTTTGAGTTGGTTTGTTCTTTTTGTTTAACCCTTTGCACTTGAAAGTTTTTTGGTAAAAGTGATTTCTTTGGATTTATAATGGTCGTTAGGGACAATTATTTTCTATTGTACCGTTTTTCTAATTGGAACGTTTGGTATTAAATTTCGTGTAATACAGCGAAACGTATTAAAATAAAGGAGCTTTGTGGAACCATTGTACTCGAGAGTTTTTCAGAAGAAATATTTAATATTTTAACTAATGTGAAATGATTTATGTATTAAGAAATAAAGTTATTTTATTTGTATACTTTACATATTGATGTATTACAAGATGGTTAATATTATATACAAGGTTTCTAATTTTGGTATATTAGAGCAATATATATAAGTATAAAACTAATTAAGTTACTTAGTCACCCCTCCAATGCAAAGGGTTCATGTGAATTTCGAGTGTCTGTAGCTTGGACTTAGTTGGGGAGCTTAATTGAGGGTTTAAGACTCGTTGGGGTGTTTCACTTAGAGCCTGAAATTTTACTGAAAGTTAATCTCAATTTTATTTAGTTTTGATGTAGATTTTAGTAGAAACAGTAAGGAATATTTTAATCTATATTTAGATTACAATTTCACAGAAACAATCCTAATTTAAATTCAACCCAAATCCAATACAATCTCGTCACATCTTATCACAGCATCTCCAATAATTAAGCTAGCTTCAAACTAATTTAGACATCAACATCAATTAGTTTCACCAAATAAATAACAACACGAAATCAATTTAATTCCCAAACCTTTAATCCTCTTTATCTCCATAAACCACAAGAATCAACAAATCATAAAAATTCCCCAAATCTACTGATGTCCCATCAGATCACTGACCCAGTAGCTAAAGCTCAACTTAGCCCTGTCATCTCTTACGATCTGCAATAATTAACTTTTTTAATTTTCTGTTCTAAAATTTGCAGCCAAGTCCAAAAATCGCACTTAGACCTCACCAATTAGCTCCACCATAAAAATAACAACACGAAACCAACCAAATGCCCCAAAACCTTTAATCCTCATCCCCATAAACCACA